TAAAAACTTTTAATGCAATTATAAAAGGCTATTAATTATTAGAACTTCTATTAGCTTCTAATCTAATTAGTAGCACTACTAGCAATTGCTAGGTCTATAATTACATTAAACTTATCTCTAACTGCGCGCGTGTACTTAGCAATATTAGCAAACTTAGAATTATCTGTGGTGTTAAGTTAGGCAGTTAGATATAGAAGGTCTATAGAGCCTTAAAGCTACACATGTGCGCAGTTAAATTTATTAACCTCTACCTTAAGCATATTTATTTTAGTAGTGTATATATTAAATAAGTTAAAGAACTTGTAGCCTACTAAATTATTTAGGTTTTAAGGCGCTGCTAATTTATTTATAACAAGTGTTTAAGCTAAGAGGAACATGTTCTAAATAGTAATAGCAGAAGTATAACTACTAGGTATATTCTTACTAAAGACCCTCTCTAACACTATCTAAACCTTTCTTACTTAGACATTATAAAGGCAAGTCTAGTTAAACACTTAATTAATATTATGTGTAAAGTTTTTATAGTTTCTTAAATTAATCTTACAGCTATAGTTAAAATGCTTTAGGCCTAAATTAATTAGCTTAAATATGTTTTCCTGTCTATACTAGTTTACAAGACTAGATGTAAGGATAGCATGCTGTAACTCTGCAGTATTAGCTAGTAAGAGAAGCTAGCAATACTAAAGCATCTTCTAGCTATAATTTGTCTGCCTAGCGCTAAAGAAAATAATAATAAGAGGATCTATAAGGCGTTATAATATACTAATATTGCTGTACTTAACAGCATAGTGTACTGCAAGAAAGAGCTTAATCTTCTAGAGCATGCAACATATAGTACAGAACTTAACATTATCTACACTAGCGCTAGAACCCTACACCTAACGCCTAAAGGCAATAGTGTGTATGTTTTTAACTAACTATAAAAAATTATCTACTAAAAAATCTCTAATAGTGTTTTTTATATAACTAAAGCGCTCTAAGAAGAACTTATTAGTTATGTGTTTTAAAAGAAGGCGTTAGTGTTATATAGCAGCATAGAACAGTGCAGTAACACAGAATGTAAACCTCTAAATAACTAACAGTTCTAGCAGATAGTATTTACTATTATCCTGTGTAAGCTGCGTTTAACACTACATAACAACATCTAACTTAATAGTATAGTGTGCAACCTTATTTGCTATAACTAGGCCTTAATGTGTCTAGCTAATAGTTAATAAAAGGTTTATCTGCACATAAAACTATGCAGGAACACTAAGTAACTACTACTTTTTATTATATAGTTAAGTTGCTTAAACCTGTTTACCCTGTATTAAGTAGATATTACATGCTATAAGCTAATTACTGTAGCATAACTAAAGGTAATTATTAAAATTATTGCTAAAAATATTAGTAGAGTTGTTTAGCGCATTTAGACTTAATTAATTTAGCTAAATAGTATTATAAACTTTATAAGTTCTACTAATAAACTTTTCTTTATTAAATATAGCACCTAACTAATAATACTTAGTCTTAACTAAGGGTAAGCAGTCTAAAATAGGGAATACTAGGTATTTAAAGAATGCTCTGCTACTAAAGACATGTAATATAGCTTCTAGGTAAAGACACTTAATTAAATTAGTAATAAAACTCTAAAATATGTTATTATTAATACTATCTAGCCTATTTAATCTAGGGCTAAGTACAATGTTCTTAAAATCTAAGGGAACTGCTAGGTTGTGCATAGACTAAGTAAGACTAGACTTAGGTAGCTTAGAAGCTATAATAGCTACAGCGTTTATTATGCTTTGCATAGTAGCTGTATAGCCTGCCTTCTTATAGCGTGTGTAATCTATAAAGTTAATGTTGTTATACACAAGTACTAGCTTTAAGTTCTTTATAAGAACTTATAATTTTTTTTTTTTAGCACTATTAGTTCTTATTAGCCTAAAGGTTTATAAGTAATTTTAGAAGTTCTAGAAGTTCTAGAAGTTTTAGAAGTATTAGAAGTATTAGAAGTACTAAATAGTATACATACTTAAGCTTTTTCTGCAACCTTATTTATTAGCTTATTAGTGTAATAATATAAATAACATAACTTAAGTCTACTTAAGACCTTAATTACGTGACACTTTGTTCTAGACCTAATAAAATAAGCATCTAGCATAGATGCTAAAGTGTTTAATCTCTTTTTAGCCTAAAAAAAGCATATAATACTAGTAATAGTAAACACACGCTTCTTAATTGCATTAGACTTATTAGCACCCTAGTAGCTTACATATCCCTAGCGTAAATTACGCAATATGCTTATAATAAAGTTGTACTAAGTTAGCGCTTAATCTTAGATAGTTTAACTAGCATTATTAAAGTTAAGTGTTAATATATTTATATTAAAATTAAAATTTTTAAAGTATATCTTTTATACTAGCTAATTTAGCTCTAAAGCGCAACAATTTATTACATTTTTTGTATAAAAGACTTTTATTTTAAAAAGTAAGTCTATTAAAGTCTTTAGCACGCGCTGCCTGTTACGCGCCTTGTAATACTAGTAATGCTTAAGAAGTGTATTGTTTTTTCTATTATCTACCTATTCTAGTATAAAGTCTTAAAAGCTTTATTAGACAGTCTGCAACGTGTCTACTATGTACTGCAACTTCTCACGCCGCGACATAGAACTACAACGCCGCGTGGAGGCGCTAGAGATCCCGCCTGCCTAGGTAAAGTTGCTAGAGGCACCTATATTATTATTATAGTCTATAGGTTAATCTAGCATAAACATATTTTTATTTTATTTAATTAGATTGTTACTTGTTAGCTAAAAGAGCCTAGAAGGTAGGCTTAATAATAAAGAGAGGTTACTAAATAGAGCCACAGTTAGCGCGTCTGCTAGTGCGTCCGCTAGCGTGTTAAATAGAGTGCTAGCATTATCTATATTTAATGTATATTATAGAGCAAGACAAGCGCTTTATAATAATAGTAATTTAAAAAATTTTAACGCAGTATTAGGGGGTAAAGTACACTGTTAAAGATAGCAACGCTAATAGCTAATAAACAAATTAAGATATACATAAATAACTACTATTTTCCTTTAGACCTTTAGGACAGAATTACCCCTTTCCTGTTTAGTGTGTTCTAATTAGTTTAGAAGTTTCTAGAAGTTCTTAGAAGTTTTAATTAGCTTAGAAGTTTTAGAAGTTCTGTCTATTCCTAAATAAGTTAAGGGCGATTCTAGGTCGAGGGTCTAACTTGTGAGATAAT